ACACACACACACACGCACTCTCTCTCTCACACACACACACACACACACTCTCACACAAAAAACTGTTATAAATTATACTAACATAACTAGGCAAAAATGGCAACAAAATATCCCAAATATTAAAAATTAAAAGGGAAAAAAGTGCATTTCCTTCTTTTATCTCATTATTTGCCATCAGCCATCCAAATCATTTTTAATGTAAAATGCATTTATGTCATCAAGTCTTTTACATTACAGCCATTTTCGTATTTAATGCTGATTTTTAGCAGTCATGACTCCACTTCGTTAATTTAAATAAATTTAATTTGATTTATTAAGTTATTTCAGGGTTTCTCGAAATGGAATTCGCAAGGGAGGTAATGAATAATTGATCAAATAATACTAATATAAAATTAAATAATAATAATAATAATATAATTACATAATTTTAATAACTACAATAAAACATTTACTGAAAAAACTACTACATCTGACTAATAGTGCTATTATGAATTATTCATGTGGATTGGGCCACATTTCAACATGAATATGACGATCAAAAAGCAGCCCAATTTACCTGCACTCCCATATATGACCTGATTTAATCTCAATCTCTAAACATCACTCAGTCTAGTAAAGGAAAGCATTCATACTTTGTAAAAGAGGCAGCCACACAGGAAGTTCTGACGCTACTCTTTAATCATTACAGCTGTTCATTAGTAAAGCTTCTTCAGATACACCAGTGATTTCAGTGCAGTTCAGCTCCTCTCTGCTCAGCGGCTGGACATCGCAGGGGTTTCCCAGAGAATTTGCACGCCGGAGGACATCAGGCCGTCCCCACCTGAGCACAGGCTTGAGGAACGGCCGTCACACATCTGGGCTTCACCCTGCCAACATCCAGCCATGGACCAGAGAGGAGACGCACATCTACAAACACATGGGACGGAGATCGGGTCTGATCCAAATGGCTACAGGTACTTGGGAAGATCCTTTTCAACAACCTGATGGGACAAAAAACTTTTTTTATTTAATCTTTAATTATTATGCATTTAATAAAATGAATAAAATAAATGTAATAGTTAATTTAATTTTTATA